GTAAATTTCCCTGCAACCGTCGGGGGAGATATAAAAATGTTATTCGATTTGCAACGACAGCGGCAAAGATGTAACAATTTTCTATTCAAATAAATAAGGAGATCCCAAGCTGTCAACTAGTTTAATTTCAATAAAATTCAATTGAAAACTTGGGAAAAAAAATTTTAATTTGACGCACACACATTGAAATATTTTATAACAATAATACAAATATGCATCCAAGCTTGCGATAGTTTAGTTTAAAATCTTAATTGTAATTCGGTTTTCAGTAATATATTTTTCATCTTAACATTGAACTGTGCAGCCAATTTATAAGCTTGTTTTAACTAAGATTTATTTAAACATTGTAAAATCACCTGAAAGTTAATTTTGATCCAAAAGCGTTGCTTTGTGAATAATTTAAGAGCCCTTCATTAAAGACACCCGTCCGAAGTCCAATTTCTCAAATTATGGCTTAAGCTCATGTTCTTTCTAATGTTTCATTTACAAGTAATACTTTAGTTCCAAGTGAAACTTTGTTTGCGCTCACAACTGAGCACAACATCCATTTAGAACTGGATTAGATTTATCCAGCCAGCAATAAAATATTCAAGACACAAGCATATCAACTTACGATTTGCTTGTCCCTGCACTTTTTCTACCAATTGCACAGATTTCCATCAACTTGGCTCCTGCTGACAGGCGAATATTTTCCATCCAAGGAGCAGCGAGCCGAGGGGAATACAATGGCAAGTTCTCGTGGCTGGCAAAACAAATGACTAGAAGAGATTACGGCAGCATTTCTGCTGATTTCCAAATGAAATTTTAATGAATGCACACACTCTCACAGTCACACTGACACCCACACCCACACCCACACCCACATGCAGATATCCCAGATACCCGTGGCGAGTGCCAGGAATCGGAACTGAAAACTGCTTTTTTGGGCCATTCGTGCGTCAACGAAATGTGAAATCTCTAGAGCGCCAAACAGCCAAAATCTGTCTGTCCAAGTGTCTATTTGTCTATCTATTTCAGCCATACGACCCCAAAGGGCCCTCCCACTTGGCCCCCAGCAAATGTACCTATGTCTACAGCTGTTTATACCCTGTACTTGAGTGGCGCTAAAAGTGTTCTCCATGGGAGATTGACACAAAAATTATGAGGATTTAACTGCACAAATGTGTATAAATATAAGGAAACCCAAACGAATTGGAATTTTAAAAATTGTACAAATTTTAATACAAAAATTCTTAAATATAAATGAAGTTGCACACAGAAAATTATTTCATGTCTTTTAACTTCCGCTTTGGTTCATGATTTATTCAATAAAGATTTATTTAGTAATGGTTAATTATAAGATTTACATTATCCATTACAATTAACAAAGGTAAGCACCTTTTATTTTTGAGTAAAAAGAAATTACTTTAATCATACTTTTTTTTTAATATAAATCAAAGTTAAACGGGTTAATTAATACGTTTTTTGTTGCTGTGCTCTAAGTTCACCGCTTCCGCTTTAATTGATGCCAGAAATGGAATGCGTCATGCCAGCCCAAAGATTAACAAAAACAGAACAAGTTAATTTTTAGTGATAACAAATAATCTTAGATTCCACAAGAATTTGGAAAAGCCAAGCTTAATACATACACCCGAAAAATAAAATTGAAAGTTTAGTTTTAATAAGTGTGCCTTGAAAATAAACTGCACACAGTAGTAAAGCATAAGTAATAACTCAGTACTAAATAATATAGCCCCATTACTTTTCAGTTTCATTTCTGTACCGATGAGTCTAAAATTTAATTACTTATTCTAAGTTTAAAATTCATGTAACAGTGGTTTAGTTTCTATGACACATGACAAAAACAAAAAATATTGTCTTTAAACAAACACTTGTTACAGATGCTTCCCGTCTTTGATTAGCATTTTGTTTTGTTTTCAACTGACCTATGGCTTTTGTTATCAACAGCTGGCGATTTTTTTTCTGGGTAATCATATTTAAATAAGAATTTTCACTAAACAGATTATGTGAACTTTAATGCCCAATTTAAACAAATAATCAAAACACACCAACAACTCATGATAATAACTGATTTAACAATAAGCAAGCCAAGGAAAAGGTAACCCAAAGTCGAAACTCAAAACGGGCTTTTTTTTTGGCGGTCTGGTATAAAAAGGGCCGTTTCTTGCTGTTGACTTCAGTTTCAAAATATAAATCAACATGAAATTACTGGTCAGTCAGCTAATCTGTGCAAAACTATTCTGAAACAATTAACGATCTTCTCATTTTTAGATTGTTGTGTTTGCCTTACTGGGTGCTGTATGGGCCCGTAGTGGATTCGACGAAAGTAATGTAACGCAAAGAAATCTTGAGAATTCGGATGCGTATTTGGCCATTTGGCCAAGTTTGGCCAGTGATGAAGCCGGATATCAAGGCAATCTGCCACGTCTTGGTGCTCAGAGCAGTGTGGAATATGCCGGCGGAACAGAATACGAAGACGCTCAGCCACGTGTTCCAATACCACTTATCGGGAACAATGGACCCAATCACGTGGACAACAGATGGTCTCCGATATTCCCCAGAGAGGAAAAACCGTCTGAAGTAGTTATCTGTCAATTTCCCATTAAACCGATCACTGAGAAATCGGACAGCGAACATGTCCCCAAACACGAGATCGTGGAGATGATTCCGGTGGACAGATCGCAGTTGGATTTCAATTCCTTCTGGGAAAGGTTTGCTAAGGCCAGAGAGGATATGCTGGCCAGAACGAATTCGGTGGCGAATATGGCCATGCCAAGCAGGGTTATAAACTTCCATGACATAGACTTCACAGTCTAATAACAATTAAATCACAGACATCTCAAAAATTGTCGAGTGTATAAAAACAACATATAATAAAATAAAATCAAATTAGTTTACACTTATTCAACTATCAGCACTTTGTTTAAATGCTAACCTATTTTGAAAGGAGTCCAGTGAGCAAAGGGTATCTCAAAGTCGTATCTCTTCGATGACAGAGATCGTTTTACTTTATAGTTGTGGCTGTGACCCTGGCACTTAAATATTTACCAGGGAACAGCGAAAAGCTTCAGCGTGAAATGCAAAACTGCAGAACATTTGCGCCGCGTGTTCATTCACTAAATTAGTTGAAGCATACATCCGTTAGATACGATTCCGATGATGAATGGGCGGTCGGTTAATTGATACCAAAATTCGCAAATGAATTCCCATTGTTCGCTGTTCGTCCTTGTGGGTTGAGCTTTTGCTGCTGAACAGAAACAGGAACAGGTAGTGGGCAATTAAAAGGGCTGAAGCAAGGATTTGCTCCTGATTCGGCGCCATTGTGTGCGAGGCGGTGGGCGCGGCTGATGTCTTTAATTAAATTTGCCTTTAGCCGCAAATCCTTTTATGCCGGCGCCATTTCACTGGGGCCTTCTTTGGCATTTGACTTTCACCAGCTTTTGCCGCAGCTTTGCCAGTTTTTCTGTGCGGATTCCAAGGATGCAACCGGAATTGCCCGCGGGCAGCTCCAACTCCTCAGCAGCGGCTGCTGTCTTGTGATTTATTATTAAACATGAATATGAATTCCCGGCTGTTGTGCTGGAGGGGATTGAGCGGATAGAGGAGAGCTGAGAAAAAGAAAAGCGCTGCCAGGACCTGTTGGCATTTTTATGCCAGCGTTTTTATGATTAATTAAAATTTATGCCCCAGCAAATTATGCTTTCGCCTTCCATAGCCATAGATATAGACCAGAATGCATATAAAAATGCCTATTCAGCGCATAGGCATCAATTCCTGGTGGCCATCAAGTCGGTGTGATTAAGATTTGGAGGATTGTCATAAAGAAGTACCCAATTTGGGCAACTAATTGAGGGCACTCGAGGGGCGTGCGAAAATGGGAAACTATGCCGAATGCTCTGCAAAAAAAGTGAGCGCATTTCATATTTATTAAAGCAATAAAATAAAGTAGGAACCAACACGGGCCGGTCCTTTTCGGGCACGAGCGTTGTTGGCCAGATAACGTGTCAGGACCCAGAGAAATATCACTGTGTCACCCACACACGCACATGTCAGACACCCACCCACACCCACACACACACACACTTACATAAATTGGGGAAACCATTGTTGCTTTGTTGTTGTAGCGGTTAACGTGCAAATTTGTTGCCGCCCCTCACGATTGGCCTACGGATTTGGCCTAGGTCCCTGGCCAAGGATTCGCATTCGCATACGCATTCGCCAGGAATAAGTAAGAAGGGCAGAGCCATAAATTTAAAATTAACCCTTTAGGAGCACAACTTTTGACCTTCGCGACGACACGACATAAATCCCGGGCACTCAAACGAGTCCTCCGAAATTAATCGGCTTTACAGGTGGTCCATTTGTGCATTTTAAATGTATAAATTGAATGAGTTTCGACTATTAATTGAATTAAAATTATTCCACGGGTATTCAGATTTGGATATTTGAGTTGTCAGTGCAGTAGCAGCAGCAGCAGCAGCATCACGCCAAACAATAATAAATAAATGGGAAACACGACTTGGCCCAAGGCTCTTGAGAGAGGGCCGAAAAGGAAGTCGAATAAATGTGAAATGAGCGAAAAAAAGCCGAAGGGCAAACTCAAGTGGCTGCTTCGCAGTCAAGACAATTCGAAAAATGCTTTTAAAAGGAAATCAGTAAAGGAATTTCGCTTATGGGCAACTGATTGTGCCATCGAAATGGGTGGAACAAGTAGTAAGGGGGTTTTGGCGGAACAGCAGGGAAACGATTTTTTTTGCTTTTTTGTTTTTTTTTTGTTTCTGGCTGCCACACTTGGAAAATTGAATTGTTTTAGATTTTCCTCCATTTTCGGGCTCTCTTTGCCGCAGCGTATAAATCAAATTGGATTTTCTTGTGCACTTAACTCCGAATGGCCAATCGGAAGTAAGCCCAAAACTCAATCAGTGGCTGACGATGAAAAGTTCATTAGTAGGCTGGCTGCCAAACGTTCATCGGCATTTATTCTATGTAGTAATCCATTGAAATCGTCATCCGAGCATGTCGTATATTCGAAATTTGCTGGACTCGCCAAACGGCTGGACTCAACTAAATCGAAATATCAATGAAATGAGGGGACTGAATAGCTGCTTTTATTTCTTTGACTTGAAAACGGGCTGCAAGTTGATAGCCGTATTTGAAGCTCTGGTCAATGTTCTGCAAATGTGCAGCATTTACAAGGCGGAGATGGAAATGGAAGTGGGATTAGGGTCCACCACAACGGAGTCGCTGGATTCGCTAATGGTCACTAGGGAACCTGATGGGGACATGCTCGGACCCAACACGACAATGCCTATATTTGAAACAAATCCTTATTTTAGCAAGGCCTTACACTCCTTGACTGTGCTCAGGTCCCTACTGCTCATTGTGGGTGCCGAATGGGTGAGTTATCTTAAGAACAAAGGTTTCACATAAAGTTTTATCAAGAAATGTTGATTGAATAAAATAAAATGGTTGTAACAAGATATTGTTTTCATATATCATCTTTTTCAGAGTCACATATCCTGTCTAGTCCTGTGGATTTGCATTACAGTTATAACCGTGATGATAAGCACTTTAATTGATATTACGCAAGAAACCACAGACCTGCAGAAAGTCTTCGTTTGTACACTTTCAATTTGTAAGCATACAAAACCCAAACTGTATTATTTTCTTATTTCCACCTCTTGCAGTTCTTGAAATCTATTTCTGCGCAGTGGTTTCCTCCTTAATTTTGAAATTGCAGGAAAAACTTCGTCGCTGTGTTCAGGAAACGGAAGTGCTTTTTACACAAAGCGAGGAAGCTTAATTATATGCAAGATAATTTAATGGTACCTCCCCATATGTATATTTCAAATATATCAAGGTCCTACTTGTAAAAGTATTTGCGTGTACTATTTTTAAAAGCAAGTACTCTTAATGAAACAGAATAAATTTCTATTGCTAGCACAAGACCATAATAATAAAAGCTGGCAATCCAATTGGTTTTTAGCTTAATTAAAATTTATGAATATTTCTATCGCTTGTAATTAAAATGAATACTTTGTTGGGTAAATATTTAGTTATAGCATGCCTGGCCACTACAACCAATTTTTGAGCTAGGCTATATAGCATATGCACAGATTGCTACTTAAACATGCTGATATTTATGGCTAAGTAATTGCATTTGCATTCGAAATCATGAAATATACACGCGCGGCGCGAAAACTTGCACATTTGCATGGAAAATTCACGCAAATGTGCACAAACCATACGAGTGTGTCTCAAAAATTGATTGCACTGGCAAATTGAACAGGAAACAAAGGCTGAAACGCTCGTTATCGCAATAACGAGAATTTCATCGTCGAAAATTGAAACCAAATATTGGTGGTAGGGGTATCATATCGAATATCGAGTATCGAACATCGGGTTTAAATTCTTACTTTTGCGTATGGCGATTTTTTGGGCGGTTCTCGCGAGGAGGAGGCCGCTGCCGTGGCGGTGGGCGTGCCGCGTTTGTTAGGCCGATTCTTTTTCAGAACGATAACGCGCATGATGGGCAGATATATGTATATTTATATATTTATATATATATTTATTTATATATAATTGTAAGGGGGTGTACGTGTGGCTTTCGGCTACTGGTATTTACGCAAAGTGTTTTTGTTTTTGGTTGCTTTTTAACAATTTATTATAGAGTGTCGCCGACTTCGTCGCTAGTCTCTTGTTTTTCTCAAGTGTTGGCCGTTCACAAACGGATTTCCACTCCTCGCGACATTTAGATTCAGATTTAGATTCAGATGCGGTTACGGATGCGAAGTGTGGCTTGGTGTGGTGTAGGTGGTTCGTGGTTCTTGGGTGGTTGCTTACAAGTACGTGTACGGGTGCGATTGCGACTGCACCCACATTTAATTTTAGTGGTGCGGTGCAGGCACAAAGGTCACGAAATTACAAAATGCAAAGCGAGCCGAGCCTCTAGCTCTAGATAGATTTTTACATAGTTGATGTTGCAATTACTGATAAGTAAGAATAAGTTAAACTACATCTAGATTAGCAAAGAGTATTGGTTATTTACAGTACATACAAGAATTTTTGTTGGTTAGCTAGTTTATTTGAATTTTATTTTTTGTTTTGAGTTGTGTTTACTTTTTTGCTCTAGCTTCGGATGGGTGAATTTGGCTCTGTGGCCACGAATTTCGACTACTTGGCTAGAATATTTGGTAGAAAGGCAAGCAAAAGATTCTTAGAAATTCTGGCAGTGCTACATTGATTCATTATAGTTTTTATAGTTTTTGTTTTTTTTTTTTTTTTTTTGATATTTTGGAATCAAATTCTTTGGGCGCACGGTGCGTATGCGTGATTGATTGATAAATAAAGCAAAGTTATTTTACATAGACTGTCGACTAGTTGGTTGCATTACTATTTTGATCATCGTTTGGTTACTTACGCGCTGAACTCAATTCAATTTATCTTGTGTGGCTATCAAAATCGAGAACAACTCGCCTAGAAAAGCCTGCCCTGAACTGCGCTCTAAAATTATGCATATATATATATATTAGGAGGATATATCTTTATATATGAGTGGTGTCTGTTTTTTTTTTTTTTTGTTGGGAATATATATAGATTTAGATTATTTGTTTTGTGTTTCGTTTTGCGTAGTTTTTATTTAGCTTAGCCCCTGCTGTTTAGCGCGATTGGCAGCCAATCACACCTCAGACGCGACGAAGAACGACGACGACGACAGGGCGCTTACGGATACGGCTGCGGATACGGATACGGCTACGGAACTACGGCTACGGCACTACGGCTACGGCAACGGCAACGGCAACGGCTACGGCTACGGCTAATTTGTCGAGCGGATCATTTAAGAGCGGAGCTGGCGAGCCGCGTTACGTATACGTCGGAGTGCAAGCACGTGACTGACTTGGAGCGACCGTTGCACGCTGCTTTTATAAACAGCGACATCGGGCCCAAAAGGGGAAAATGTCTGGCAACGCTTCCAAGCGTTGCAATTTTCGCTCTCTCAGTTGGCTTTTCCGCTTTTCCGAGCCCCGTTCGGCAAACAGCTGATTCACTTGGTGGCTCCGAGGTTGAGGTTACAGTCAAAAGAAAGCGAGTTTTTTTTTTTTTTGTATGAGCCACCCCGCCACACAGCAGTAGTAATTGCTTGTCACACACAAAAACAATGTAAATCACACATAGAGTGGAAAATTTAAATTGAGCATGGCCGTTTTGAACGAGGAAAAACACGCAACTGCACGGACAATCAAGCCATATTGCCGCACTGACCACGCACAAGCTAATCTACCGCAGGACTAAGCGAAAGGCGAAGGACGAACCTAACCCACAGTTGGCCGCTGCCTGATGGCGGCTTTCCACGGCTACAAATGAGCGAGAGCGAGAGAGACGGGGAAACGCTTGGGTCACATGCGCAGTCGGCAATCAGCTGTTTGACCTACATACGAACGCCAGTTCATCTGTACTTTGTACTTGGGAGCGTGCAAACGGGGGGCGTGGCGGACGGGAAACAGAAAACAGAAGTCCCGACCCCGCCTAAATGGAACTCATTAGATCTCGGCCATGAAAAGCGCCCCCAGCAGAAAAGCTGCCAGCAACAGGTCGTCCGTGAAAAGCTAAGGTAAAGCTTTCGTGTGGCCAACAACTTAATTTCAATCTGGTTACTTTCCCAGCTTTTCTAGCTTTTCCTTGGGTTAATTTTCCCACTAAACTTGCGAGCTTTTCACCCCACGAAAAACTAGAACTTACCTGAGCCCTTATGGCCGCCAAATGGATCTGTTTGGCCCGCAGGTCGAACTTCTTCATGGACAAGTCCTCCTGCAGCTCGTTGACCTTGTTGTACAGCTGACCCTCGATCCCGCGGCTCTGCGTTCGATTCAGTGCCTCAATGGAGTCCTGCGGGGAAAACAAAAAGGGAAGTAAGTACACCCAAATGATGAAATCATACAATTCAACAAGGAAAAACATAATAAATAACCTGTTATATTTTGTGTATCCTATTTACAAATTTATGTAATAAATTTGCTTCTTTAACATTTTAAGACAACAATTTTTAAAACATAATAAAAAAGATGGCAAGGAAAAGAACTAAAATAATACTTATAATTGTATAACTATATAATTTAGAATTCTGGACTAACAACAAGTATTGAAAAATACTTCTCAAGTATATACAGAATAAATTTACAGAAATTAATAACTAAATCGTACGATTTTGTTTTTACTTTTTTTCGCTGTTATTGTCGTAAAAAATTGACAATCGAAATTTAGTTTTTTCCCTTTTTACCCTTGAAAACTGTCTCTGTAAATAGTAGGCTAGTTTATAAGTTTCATGAGCACTTTGCTTGAGCATATATCATTCCCTATAAGTCTTTAATCCTTCGAAAATGTTTTCTGCTGGGAAAACACTTGTCGGTTCGCAAGCTGGGGCCAAATCCCGCAAATCCCGATTGCAGACCATTAGGCGCATTTTGAATACCATAAGACTGAACAGCTGTCTTTATTTCTTCAGCCTGGAAAAAGGATGTAGGATTATAGCCACTTTTGAGGCGCTGGTGAGCGTGGTGCAGATCTGCAGTTTTTATCATCTGGGCAACCAGTCATCTGCAAGTGCTATATTTCCGGATCCCTACTGGGTAACAAAAATCGATAGAGATGGCATAATCAAACGGCTTTTTCTGTATCGCACTAATCCCAATTTTCAAATGGGTCTCGCTTTGGTTACTGTTCTCAACTCAATGCTGCTTTTTATAGGAAGCAAATGGGTGAGTATTCTTAGTTTTCAGGTACTAACAGTAGTAAATAATACATTTTCTCCTTTAGGGTCACCAAGTGTGCCTGTTTCTTTGGATTTACATTTCGCTCTTCACAACTCTTATGACGAATGTCAATGATACTATGCGCAACATAAATGTGACGCAAGTATTGTCGATACTGCCATCTTTAGGTAAGTACTTCGAATTTTATTTAATTTGATTTAAAACTAATGTAAAATTTGTTAGCAACTACAACCTATTTTTTGATAGTGGTTGCATCATTGATTTGCAAGTTCCAAACTCAATCGGATGATTTTAACTCGGGTATTACAGTGCTCTCCTCAGAGGACGAGGAACTGTAGGATTTCAGATAAAATTAACTTTGTTTTTTTTTTGTTTTAAAAACCATTTGGTTGAATTAAAAAAATAAATGCCAACAGGTTTTTGAGTCGATACACGTTGAAATCAGATTTAATACCACAGTGCGCTATTTCTTCTTCTGCTTGGTCAATTCAACTCACCTGCAGCTGACGTATTTGCAATTCCAATTCGATGGCCTCTCGCTTCAGCGACTCCAGCGCGGAGCGTTGTGACAAAGTGGAGTGCCGGTCGAAGACCAGCTCGTTCCGCAGGCAGGGCGTCATCTCCTGCAAAGGACACATGCACATGGCCACAAGGACACGTTCGCTTAAACCTTAAAACCTCTGGATGATAGGTGTTCCACTGGCTACTCACATTGTGGTCGCCCGCCTCCTCGCCAGCCTCGCCCTGGGGCGTCGCAAAGAGCCGTCGGGGAATCTTCTGGGCCTGGGACGGCTGGGCCAGCAGGCGGACGAAGTTCACCAGGTCCTGTTGAGGCGACACCGCACTGCACTGGTTGATCAGGCTGTTGTACCGCTTGGATTGGTCATTGGCCTGGGGATGGGAGAGATATGGTATTATTTGTTGTCCGTTATTGTTTGCCTGAGACATTTTGTTGACATCCTTCAGCCACAACAATTGTGTCCTCAAACAAAACTTGTGCAGAATCAGTGATGGGAAAAATCTGAGCATTTTTAGATATGAACATCTGTTTTTGATACGTTTTGCCTAAGTTTAGTACTTACTACTACTAATCTACATATAACTTCTACTATTTATATCTTTCTATCAATATATATATCACTTAAAACTTTAAAAATAAAACATTATTTTTTTAGTCCGGAAGTCTGATATATTAATTTTATAGTTTTAATGGCATACACTTTTATAAATTATTTCAAAACCATTGTGTTTTTTTTTTTGGTGTACAACCCAAAATTTATTCTTAATATCTCTTTATTAATTTTACTTACTAGAATTTTTTAAAGGCTTAGATCCCTTACGCCTTTTAGCATTATAAAAACTTCCTTTAGTTTAGTTTACTGTACCTAAGCCACAATCAGATCTTTATATTTCACAAAGTAAAACGTGAAAGGTAACCCATTTATAGGTATAATTTTTTTGCATTTACCCAAAACGCCCCGCTATGTAAAAAGTGTGGCCATTATTAGCGTGGACCTGCCCACGCATTAGGCAAATTACCACGGCAAATTGCTACACCGGGCAATTATAATAATCGTGTACAAATTATTTTTTAGGAAACAAAGGGCGTTGCAAAAATTAACTTCAATTCCAGCTGGCGGTGGATGTGAATGTGAATGTGGTGACCCCACCAAATGGTGACACCAGGGCAACCAACAAGCAACAACCACCTGCTGCAGTGATAAATCACCGCCTGAAACTGGCCCTAGCAGTGGGGCACACTCACCTTGCCGGCAATTACTTCGGCGCCCTGCATCAGCGAGTCGGACACAATGGCGACCAGGTCGTTGTGAATCTCCTCCAGCTCCTGCATCTGCTGGGGCAGGGTGTCCGAGTGGTAGGCCTCCAGCATGCCATTGGTGGCATGCAGCTGCTGCACGTACGCGTTGTGGGCGTCGATGTATTCGGTGAGCGAGTGCTGGCTGGGATTCTGTCGGTGGGCCAGGTGGCACTGCTTGTAGTCCACTCGGCACTGCGGGGGTTTAAAAAAGGGTTTGGGTGTGGGTTTGGGTGGAATTGGGCCTTGGGGTGCCCAATTTATGGGTAATCACAGAAAAGGGTGAATGGGCACACGCACAATGGACAGGCAATTTGAATCGGGCCAACAGTGCGTATGCTTATTGTGTCGAAACAGGGCTTTGCCTTAAAGATACAATACGCATACGCACTGTTGGCCATGATTCAAAACCTTTACGAACAGGGCTTTCAGTTTTTAGTTAATTTTCTGTTCAGGCACAATACGCATACGCACTGTTGGCCCTCGTAAAGTCCTCTTCACTCAGATCACTTCTGGGATTTACTTAGCCTTAATCAAGACATTTTGCTAATTAAACTCACCTTTGACAGCTTCTCTTCAGTCTTTGCGATAATAGTCTCGAAAGACTCCCTGTGTGTGAATATTTTACGGCTTTGAACTTTGCGATGAAAGGATTTATCCAGCATTGGTCGCGACACCTGCAGGTTGGGTTTGTAAATAAATTATGTATGCCGACGTTCGGGTAAAAAGGGCAAATCATCGTGAAAAATGAAAATTAAATGTGTAAGCCAAACAAGTAAAAACAAAAACAAAAAAACGCAAACACGGCAGCGAAACAACATTATTCGGCACTCGAAAAACACATGTCATTTCCCAAGGCCCCGCTGCGGCCACGCCCCCACTAATTAACCATAATTAGAGTCTGCTTTTTATAATGCAAATTGGGAATATTTTTGCCTCTTTTTTTTTGTTTCTGCGGCCTCAAGGCCACATTCGCATGTGGTTTACACAGGCGATCGATGCGGTAACTGGTACAAATAAAATTATCATATTTATCATTATTAATAGAAATCTGGCATTTATTTGTAAGGGCAGCAGCAGAAAAGTATTTCGCCTGAATTCCACAAATAATTTAATTAAAAATTCTTTAAGGACAAGTGCAGTGCCGAGTAGTTCGATTCTATTTCCGGTGAGGGCAACTGAATATTTAACGCGACACGATATCGCCATTAAGCCATTTGCCTTGTTGGCCCAATTTTCGGCGATGAAAAGCGTCATTTAAGAGACTCACCTGGCGGGAAAGGACGCTGGCCACATCGTTGCAGGCCTGTGAATCGGTTTCGACCTCCTGCAGGAATGTTTCCCATGCCTGAAAGATGGCCAAGTGGCAGGCGGGTCTGCACGCCACTCGGATTACGTTCGCATCAATTTGGCTTGAAAATCGCTCGAGGCACTCACCTTTCTTTTCGTAATTCGGCATTCTTCTTGCGATAATTGGAGACCGCAACTTGGAGGGCAGTTGCGTGTTCCTCGTACAGACGGGAGAGTGTTTCGGAGAAATCGGATACTGTAATTGAATTAGGTCGAGTAAGTACTAAAACTAAGGCTAAGCAAAACTAGGAGGCAGTCACGCCTTATGACGAGCAGTTGAGACAATAAAAAGCACCGGAAACGGATATGCACACAGGGGAGAGGTGGGCACTTCCGGCAGAAGTCTTTGTGTTTGTTTGTATCTCTATTTCAGCAGTCAAGACTACACTCACTAGCTTAACATTTATTATTATTATTTATTCATCAAGTTTTTTTCCAAGTGAGAGCTTTAATGTTTTAATGTCAAAATTTAAGCAAGACATTTACTCAAAAAGTAACCCAAGTGTATGTGCTGTGAAAGGCGAAAAGCCTGCCTCTTTAAAAAGGAGTGATAATCCATCATATTTACGATTATGCATACATATATGAACATGGCTGTTTGGCTTTCACTTGGCTTTCAACTTCTTAGCCTGTCAGTTTATGGGGCAAACATTTTATGGCCCGCCAGATACGCGTTTATAGTGTCCCAGCAACAGGTTGTTAAAAGTGTGTAGTATAAATTCTGCACAACTTTAATTTAATCAATACATCGCTTTTCTTTTTTTTCCCTACTGATTTCACATGCAGTTCACAGCGAAAATGTTATTAAAAACTTTTGATGTATACTCTACAAGCTCTGCCGAATGCAAGTGCCAAAGGTGCCATCCGCTGGGACAACTTTCAGTGACAGCACCGTAATTCAAAGTCAAAGTTATGTCGAAAAGTTGCAGCTGTGCCGGAGATTGTTCGTGTGTAAACATACTATGAGCTGGGATAGAGAATTTACGAGCCTTTTGCGGCTGAAGAGGCTACAAGCTCGGAACAGATTTATGTCTCAATCTGATGGCCCGACAAAGACAATTGACAATCGAAATCAATAAGCCATAAAGGTGACAAGCGAAACTTATCAAATAAAATGCTGGCACATAAATTGCTTTTTGTTTCCCTATTTCTCCTCTTTTTTCCCCATTTTTATTTTGGCCCACCTGGCTAGCGTGTCAGGTGTTAAAAGCTGACACACGACATGTGTAGTCCCGTGTGTCACCATCATATGAATTGGATTCGACTTACATACACCAAATAGAATGCTCTACTCACCTGTTTTAATTAACTTAAAGTTGACATTGTTCTGGGATTTGAAAGCCTCGTTCAAACTGCTGTGACTGTAATCCTTGAGCACGCCGTTGTAGGACGCCATCCTGCCGCCCGGGGGGCTAAGGGAACCACCGCGTGGTCCCCTCCACCCGAAGATCCTCCGCCTACGACTTCTTCGACCACTTGAAGATTTTACCGAAGAACCTGCCAATGGGTCGACAATTTCGTTATTAACCGATTGTTATTGATTTTTCACTCAAACCAAAAATTAATCAACTCGAAAAACCAAACAATTAAAGAGAGAAAAAACAAACAGAACGCAACGAAAATTCCAAACAAAACGAAACGAATTGAAAGCAAACAAATGAGAATTCTCAAACGAAATGTGATTTGATTTGATTTGATTTGGGTAGATGTATAGTAGAGTAAAGTATCCGTCGGGCAATGTCAGGAATTATTTTGGCAACGCTGCGATAAATACACAAGTCACTTCGCCGCCACATTCCGACCCTCTTGGCCAATCAAACAGATCGTTGCCTTTTGTATTTATGCATAAATAATGAGTGGAGGCAGCACTCCAATCGCCCCCCTTTATTTTTCCTTTCGCTTCTATTTTCGTTTTGGGCCAAGGCGGAAATTCGAGTATTTCAGTCAAAGTCAACGCCCAAACTCGAGCCCCATTACCAAAGTCAACAAGAAAACCCTAACAGAAGCGGCCAAAATTATGGAAATGCATTATTACTTAACATGGGTTTTCAGTTTCGTTTAGTCTTTTATTTGATAAAATAATTTTTAGGCTTGAAAAAGTAATAACCGTTCTGAAATATATTTAAATATGAAAGTTTATTTGATGAATTTAAACGTCAAAACCTTTCAATAAACGTTAGGATTCACAGTTTACTTTTTTACTTTAAAAATAATTTAATTCAAAATCAATAAAAAATTTTTTAAAATTTAAGGAATAAACGAAAATTGAAGTTTAGTAACTGTTTAAGATGTAAGATTTCCACTTGACTCTTTTAAAACCTTTTCGGTTGTGGAAAGTACAAAGTATGCAATAAATCTAAATCATTATTGAATTTTCTATAATATTTAAATTTTTCTTTAAGCAGTATTCTTTTAGATATATTCATATTTGAAGACAATGTTTATAGGATTATTTTAATTGCGGATTTTAGGAACTCTTAAAGCTGTCTGAAATTCCCTGGACAGGTTATCAAATATTCACATAATACATTTCAGCGCATAAGTACTAATTCTAATAATTGCATGACTTTAACTTAAGTCCTATTACTTTAAGCGCAACTGTTCAAGGGTTCGAATGGCTTGCTGGTCTTTTTCGCTCTTTCGGTCTGCAATTGGAGGCCCTAGCCAAAGTCGGGGCAGAGTGGAGTCCCTTCATTTAAAATTCAATCAATAAATGAAGCGTAATTTCATTGCCGCGGCGAGAGTCGAGATTTCGTTTGAACACACATACCGGCAGCTAAAAAGACTCGAGGGCCCGTTCGTTTGCGATGTCTTGTGATTGTTTTACCCGGACTTGGGGGACTCGGCACGCCAGTCCAGTTCAGCCTGTCCAAGTGTCCAAAGTGTCCAAAGTGTCTGTCTGTGGGCTTGACTTGGCCATGTTTGTTTGCACACACGCTCACACGAGGCTCAATTACTGTCCAAATGAAATATGTAGGAGCTGAGCTGCAGCTCCTCGCCCACGAAAGTATGCTATAGAAATTATTAAAGGACCCGTCGCATCCTATTTAGTTGCGTCCAATTTGAGGCGGAATAAACAAGGCGTGTCCGAGATTGCCAGCGATCACGTAGCTCTTGATTTACTCTGCCGCTGGTCATCAAATTTGCCGCGCTGTGAACTTTTAAATGGATTCGAGGGGGTGGTGGCTTTGGGTGCTTTTGTTTGCTTTTGGAAGGATCTCGGGCGGTTGAAGCTCACGTGCCAGCTGCAAGGATGTCGTTATCGCTGTTGTTGATTACACTTCACGCCCTGCTAAGCTGGCATTCATTTCGGGACGTCAGTGGCAACAGGATGGGTTCCTTCTCCTTCTAGTTTTTCAAAGAATTATGTGCGTGTTCGGATTTGGAGAATGCGCTCGGGGCACGCAATGCATTTGCAGTAGTAGTGCCACATCCACATCCACACGGGCCCAGGTAATCCAATTATGCATGCGAGAAGTAGCTGTGGACCCGGATCAAGCGATATGGCAGCACGTTGGATATGCAGATGGCGAGCGGAAAGTCAAGCATCCTTAGCACCTCAAGTTCGCGTTTCGCCTTTTAGCTTTGTGTATGTGAGTTTAGTACCGAAAGTTAACGAAGCGAGGACGGCACAAGAATGGGAAAAGCGAACGCTCTGGCAGAGCCAAAGGTTGGGCATCCTTGGAAAAACTACGAATGGCAAATCCAGAGAGTCCATTGTACGGATTCTGCGAGTTGGTAATAGAAAGCGCTCCTAATACAGCTAATTGAAAGGCTTCAGTGCAGGAATATGAAATTCAAGCCACAGAGCAAATAGTTGGAAATTAACTGCGAATTAACTTGATATCTGCACTTGAAGTCTAATTGTGTGTTAAACAAGTACCTTAGAACAAGCAGTTATCGGGTACAAACATTTATAATAAAGCCCTATCAGTTTGTTTTCAGGAATTTAAATCTTAGAGAACTAGCTAGACAGAAAACCTACTTTTAAGGACATTAAATTACATGCTTTTTATTTTAACAAGATATGAAGACACAGTTTTAATAACTCAACTTTAATGGTTTACTACCCTTATTTTCTTGTCTAAACTCGGTGTCTAAGACTAATAGTTTTATCCAAGGATACTTTAGTATAAATGCATGATTTTAAGGCAATATCAAACTAGAAAAGAACTCAAAACTGCAGCTCAAACTTGCAGATGAAACGTTTCTTTTTTACTGACAGAAGTGTTTTGGATTTCAATTTCACAGGTTTGTATGGATGCGATTTGGTTTGGGTGGTTATGTTTGATGCCCAAATCAAATCGAATTCCCTGTAACTAATAAAAACCCAAGACAAGACCGCATGTGGCATGTTATGGCGACCAACTCTAGGTTGCTCTACGAGACGCGCGGCAAAAGAACTGTGAACGATTCGATTAGCGGGTGCGGGAAAAGACTTGGAAGGCACCTGTCACCTTTGGAGTGCGCTCCGCTCGAGCTGGCCCCGCCTCCAGCGCCCCCACCGCCTCCGCCCGCCGAGTTGGAGCCACTGGGTGGTGCTGGTGGATGTCCAGCGGGTGCTCCACCCACCGCTCCGTCGCACTGATCCGCGCTGCGCGATCTTGAGCCAGCCATCCGTTCGCGAGGCGAGCGGGCAAACAGACCGCCCCCGCTACCGCCCTTGCCTGCCGGACTCCGCGTCCTGGGCGAATCGTAGACGCCCGCATAGTTCTCCAGGGGCGGCGAGTAGCCACGCCCACTACCGTCCGCCGGCGCCGTGTGAGGCGTACGCGGCTGCACCTTGATGACCGGCTCGCGGGCCTCGAAGAATGCATCGAAGTTGTTGTGGCGCAGGTTCTCGCTGCTGAACACCGGATTCTCCACATGCACATGGACATCCTCGCGCAGTCTGTTGCTCTCCCTTGTGTCCGAGGAGCTGGACCGCCCCAATCTGCCCAGCGGCAGATGGAGCTTGGGCCGCAGTCGGGACTTGCCCGTGGGCGACTTGCTGCCCGACGATCGCTCTGGGGGCAGATCCATGGGCGACATGGGTCGACCCCAGCCCGGTCCGAAGTGGGCATGAGTGGGATCCGGCGAGGGTGGCTCCAGGAAGATGCTGGGGCTGCGCGAGCGGAGATCTCCATATTCTAGGGCTGCTCCTCCACTTGCTAATCCCGCATCCTGTTCGAAGGCGGCGCTGCTGCGCTGGAATGGTGCTCGCCCTGGTCCAGTGGCTCCGCTGCTGCTGGCCTCATCATACTCATTATACATGGACGCAGCCGGCGGACGCTGGTGGCTCCTCCGTAGGCTGCTCCGTTTGGTGGAGCCCTGCTGCGAGAGATTCGAGTTGTTGGAGTGGGTCAGCGACGAGCGCGAAGTGCGGCGTGTGGGTGTGGGCGGCAGGCTCTGGGATTGGCTCTGGAACTGACTCTGGAACTGGTTCTGGAACTGGCTCTGGACCGGCTCCTCGAAGCTGAAAAAGTTGGAGCACTCCGGTGGCGAGGCTGGGCTGGCAGGCGGTGATCCTGGATAGAAAGAGGCTAGTGCTGGCTGGCCGGCCTCAAAGTGGACAACGGCGGGCTGATGGCTGCTGGCGGTGGTGGTGGTGGTGGTGGGGCTACTTGGGGCCTTGAGGATGGTGCTGCTTCCCAGTGGATTGCTGGCTGATCTGGCTGATCGGGCTGATCTCGCGGGAATCTCGATGGGCACCAGCGGCTCGGGCAGGCAGTCGAGTGAGGGTCGCGGTTTCACACGGGGCGCAAAGAAACCATAGGTCATACAGATGAGCTCATCGGCGGGGTATATTACGTACATTCCTCACATACCCCATGTGGCATGGTGCTAAGTGGATCTCAGCTGTTGGCTTTCTTATTTGGTTTGTGAAGTTTGTGAAGTCGGTGAAGTGGTACTAAAATCTGCGTTTCGGTGGGTCTGTCTTTTTTGGGGTTCTCTGTGAGCAGTGCTGTCAGCTGTCTGTCTTTTGTGGGTTGTGTCGAACTAAAGTTTTTTACTTTAAGTTAGCTAAACAATAGAGAGGGTGCGTACCTAGGTTCGTTTATAACTAAGGACTTAACGTACTTTCTGCTACTCGGGTATATCACAAAGTGAGTTCAAGTTTAGTTTATTTCTCGGGGACGTGCTGTCATTTGGATCGCTGCATGTTGTCGTTGCTTGAAGACGATGCTGAAAGTAGGGAATAAAACAGAACAAGAGTACGATAAATTAGTTGTAATTACTGGAGGTTACGTTTTAGAACACAAAAGAAAAGTTTGGCCACAAGCAGAAAGAAAAAACGCCAGCCTCATTAAAAACATTTCCTTGCGCTGGTCACTCATTCATGCGAATCTTTTTGCTCATTAAATTGTTTCGTTTCCCTGGAAGAACAGAAGTTCCTGCTCCAGGGTCAGGATTTAGGTCAAACCATGGACCTCCCACCCGCCCAAAAGTTGGTAAACAAAGTTCGACAGAGAGCACATTTCTGGCCAGGTTTTGCATGGCCAAGGCCAGGGCCCAAACAACTTAGAGGCCAGGTGCTTAATTGTCAGAGTGCCAACTGTACAAATGGTACACGAAAAAGGGTAAACAAACGATGTTCGTGGTAAATAAAACACATGTTATGAGAACATTTGGGTGCGCATTACCCATATATGTATTATTTCTACCAATCTAAACATTGTTTATGGGGATGCCACAGCAATTATTAGGGATTTGAAACCAATCAAAAGAGTGCACTCAATAATACACAAAATAAAACGACTTAAAAAAAAAATAACGTACATTTAAGGAATGGTGATAAAAATACAAATGACAAAACCTGTCAAAATTAACTAAAATTATATAAAATTAGGGAACTGATTTAAGTTCATAATCAAAATGACCTAAAATCTATTCATTTTAGGAATTTAGAGACATATCAAAACATTTAAGTTTATTATTTGTAAATAGTAGACAATTTAAGGACGTTTAAGGTAATTTGGGTTTTATGTGTTCTTATTATAAATATTCTAAAAATAAATAAATATAATAGAATATTAATCAATTATTTATTTTTTAGTGCATTCTTCTTTCAAAGCACACGTGATTTCTGTAGCACCCCCAATCAGATGATTTTTAGCGAGCATTGAAGAATAGTATACCATTTTAAAAACAGTCTATAAAAACTTTTCAAAAAAGGTTTACAAAAGTTTTGTTTTTTAATAAAAATTGGTTAGGAAAATGTTTGATTATAATTATTTATTTATGATTTAAGACCACTATAAAACATATACGCTTTCATTAACCTTCTTCATCTAAAGTCCCAGACACCCCTTAGTTTGCCATATAAGTGGGGTGTTCTCTAACACAAATTAACAGGAATTGGCAATGACAGCCTGAGTCCAAAGTTGGTCGATCCACCCGTTCCGCCCACTAACAATGTGCGTGTTGAAGCCACTCGTGAGTGGGGTGGTGGGTGGATTTCTGGCTCGCCACATGCAAGGCTTATTATTATGCCATTTTATTGGCCAATCGATGGGCCCATATCAATTAAATTTGCATTAAATATTCATGATAACCAATGGTAACACGCCGCTTTAATTATCGGATCGGAATTAACCGGATGAGTGATTATAGTATGCGACTGTCTTGAACTGCCAGACAAAGTTGATGGGCTTTCCAATTGTAGACAAATTAATGTTATGTTTATCAAAAACTTGGAAAATTATAAGGCTGCAATGTAAGGTGTATAAAACCTTTTAACTAAGAAGGTATATGGACAATATAAAACAACATAAAGATAATGTGATTTTGTTTAACTTCAAAACACTTTCCGTTTAAACATAATTGTTATGATCAAAAATGTTACACAAATAGAAAACTAGATAGCTATGCACGCTTATAGTCTCTAATAAAAGCATAATTAAGGGAAAAATTTAATGTAAAAATAGAAATATATGAAACAGAAAATGTAACTATTTAAGCTTTACAGAATTTCAGGGATCCTAAACATCTTTTGAAAAAAAAATCCCTTTTTGTTCTTAAATCCTCGTCCGCATTTCCGTCTAAGGCTACCCGACTCTCTGGAGCTCGTATTTTTCAATTGCATTATAAATTTATCATTTGCATAATTGATATACAATGGATACTGACCCGATAATATTCACCCACAAAATGTGAGAGGGCGGGTCCTTGGCCGGCATTAAAATCGCATTACGCGCACAGCGGCACGGGAAATCGGTGCAGATTAAATTCATATATCGCGAGCGGCGGCCTTGCGTGTGCGTATGTGAAAATGAGGAAAACCCGAAAAGAAAACTTACAAGAAGAATGCTCGAGGGGGTGGGGAAGGGAAACACGAGCGAGCATGAGGAAAAGCAAAGCCAAGCCAAAAATTGCATTTCATAAATGGGGGGCTACAGCTCTTGTGGCAAGGCGAGCCGAGCCGAAAAGAAATCACGCAATTTAATTCAATGTGAATTATTTATTAGCTGCCAGATAGGGGCGGGCGCATGAATAATTCCCCATATTTAATGCGATGCCACTTGGTGGGGGGCCCGAAGGTTGAAAAGCGGGGAAAAGCGAACAAGAAAGAGGAACTGCTGCCGATGACACTATCCGATGGGGTACGCAAATATTTCCTTTTCATCCGCCCCCTATTTTCACCCGCAAACACACACACACACATAATTGAATTGTTTTGCTGCACTTTACCAGCTCGTTAAATCTGTCAACATTGATCAATCAAACTGGGTGAGCGTAAGTGAAAGTGGGCGGCCAAAGGGAAAGTTTTCCAGTCTCCGGCTTATAGTTATAAAAGCCGGGGCACCGAGGAATTTCCTCCCTCTTTTTCCTTTTCCGACGACTGGCATTTTAAAAGCATTTTACCCCCTGTTGGAAAATCCAACCGAAAGCAATTTTGCGAAAATGCACAAACAGCAGCAGCAGCCGTCAAGCCATGAAAGGGAAAATGGCAACTACTTATATTAAAATTAATTAACTACAGAAAACAATGAAACCAGTTCTCTTATCAGAACGAGGCAACCAACAACAGCAGCAGCGACAGCAGCAGCAGCAGCGACAGCAGCAAACAAAATGTTATAAATAAACAGGCAGTGAAACCCCTCGTTTTGGCTAGCTGAATATTGGCAGAAGAAATGCTGAGATACCGAGATACAAAGATGCCGAGAATGCCCAGGAAAAGCCGGCCAACTAGAGGAAGCAAACTTGACTCAAGTGCATTGTCAAGGCGGGCCAGAATAGTACAAACAAAAAAAAAAAAAAACAGCGAAGAGGAGCAATGTGAAGGCGCCCATGCGATGCCATGCGATGATGCACTTGCTCTCGGCCAGAGACATACATAATTACATGGCAGTGAGCCCAGAACACGGGCCACATATTTATATTTAAAAGCATATAAACAAATGTATTATAGTGGGTCTGCACGCCGAGGTATTCGCTGCCCGCTATGAGAATACAAATTAACCAAATTCTTCGTTTGCTTCTCTGGCTACGAAAATACGAAAAAATGCTAAGATCAAGGGAACTTGCTTGGGTGCCTTTGACCCTGCTTTTAAATTCCACCTCAAACTAAGGGCCTTAAGAGATGTTCTTTCTGTCTTAATTAAATTTAAACGCATACAAGTAAATATTTGGTTTGTTCAACTACAATTGCGGTTCGGTAGGAAAACATGCAGCTCGGTTTGGCACTTATGTATGACCCAGCTTATTATTACACAAAATGTTTTACTAACTCTTTGTTGGATTTATTAGAATGTAAATAAATTAAATTCATGAATATTGACAACATTGGTCCTTGCTTCTCACTTTTATATAAAACCGCTTTAATAGTATTTTAGTCCTTCAATTGAAAAACATTTAAATAAATACAATACAGGGATGTAGTTATTTTGGCTTGCTGTGAAAATTCAAATATCAAAAATTCTTTCGTGCGTGCTACAAAAACAAAAGCAAAAAGGTAAGGCCATAGAAATTGCTGAGCCTTATGAAAAATGTATATTTATTTTTAAAATGATTATAGCAATGTGCAGCTTAAAGTTGAACTGCTATAAAACAAATTAAAGCAAAACATCAAGTTAACGATCATGTCTTTTTAATTCGCCATTTAGCCAAGGTACTAACTAGCTCACTTTAATTCCACTGCCAATCAAGAGGAAAGTCCTTCATCTAATGGCTCAATCAATCTCGTTTGAGCCAGCGTTTCTGTACTCCAGCCGAGAGAGCATGGACAACAATAAAGTATTGTGCTGATTTGTGTGAGCCATAATTCGCCATAATTCCCTTGCACATTGAAATGAGCTGAACCATCAGAGGCAGAGGGAAGAAAAACACAATGATACAGGTAGCATAGACATGTGATACTTATGCAAAAGGAAATTAGGCGAAGCAGATGGGGGAAGCTTCGAAAGCAAGGCAAACAAAGCTGTCGAAAAGAGTAAACTCAATTTATGAGCAAACGTTCGAGCAGGCTGGCGAAAGCGAAACACGGAGCAGCTTCAACGCAAATTGCGTATTCGCAACGTGGGCCCCCGTTGCGGAGCTACCCGAGCAGCAAAACCTGGCGCAGAGGGTTGGGTTTCTGGGATGGCTATGGGTCCCCACTCGAATTGAAATTCCGTCTGACATGCACACACACACTGACACACTCCAAAAATTCGACATTTTCGGGCCCCGTGCGGGTTTCGGGGTTGGAATATACATTAGGATAATTAAACAGCAACTGTCCATATCGCTGGTGGAAAACCTACCCAAAAGGCAGGTAACAGAATATAAAAATCGAATAAAATAAAAAAAAAAATGGTTAAGCCAAACTAATGGCTCTGTAACCTGCGTTCAAACACGAAATTTAAAACCAAAATTAAAAATGCAACGTTTTGCAGAGGAAACTATAAGCCAAAATATCTTAATTAAACACGAAATCAGATAAACAATACCTAATAAAGAACCAAAATAATTTAAATCATTTGAAATAGAAGCGAAAAATGCTTTCCTAATGAAATGGCATTATACATTATTCATTAAGTGGAAATAAACTCACCGTTTAGAAAATCTGCAGCGATGTTGTATTATTATCGAGTCGTTGGGTTGACATTTCTGTACTTCGCTGTAATTTGAATGTAGCACAAATATTTGTTTGTTTACACAACACACGCACTGTTGTTTGTCCGATTCACTGGGCTTACATATGTGGCACATGAATGTGTTATGACGAGTTGACTTTCGGTTTGGTTTTTGGTTTGGGTTTGCTTTGGTTTTGGTTTTTGGTTAAGTTTTTTGGTTAAGTTTCGTTTCGTTACTGGGCTTAGGGCTCAGGGCTCGTTTCGAGTCGTTTCAGTTGCACTTCCTTAAATTTTTGCAATTTTTATTCTTCTGTCGCTGGCACACAACACACACAACAAATAATAATAACAACAACAGGAACTACGACCGATCGACGACGAATTTAGACTGAGACTCGAGCAGCTGTAAGCATTGAAATATTTTGACAATTTTTGTTTGTGTTCCGCCGCTCTTTCTTCTTGCTGTGTTTTCTCGCGATTCTCATGGCTGCTCTACTGATGTTGCTGCTGCTGCTGTTGCTGTTGCTGCTTGTCGCACTATTGTTGCTGCTGCAGATGTTGCTCCTAGTTCTGTTGTTGCTGCTGCTGCTGCTGCTGCTGCTACGCATGTTGCGGCTGTTGATATTATCATATCGCTGCCATGGCGCGCTCCGCCAAAACACTCGAGCTCTTTTAATTGCCTTGGGTAAATGCGGCGTATGCGCGATATGCTTTTTATTCGCCCCAGCCAGACCAGTTTATACCGCATCCGTGACGTGTCTTATCCAGCCAATGACGTCATGGCCGCCACCGCTGTCACAGCTGTCACGCGCAGAAAGTGTTCAAAACACTATTTATAGATCAATGGCCGCCCGCACCGCTTCTCGCCATCAGCTGCTGCTGCTGCTAATTTTTGCAAGTGTTTTTCTTAGCGCTTTTCTTCGATCGCAGCTGAAAATAGAAATAAGCAGAGGGTGAGGAATAAATTGTCGTTTTTGTGTGTGAACCTCATTGAAATGTTTGCGCGTACTCAATTTTTATTCGCATCTAAATATGCACATACATATAGAACAAGTGTGTAGTATACACTGCGAATGGCAATCGATGGCAACTGTGATTACTCATACGCCCCGAGTGCCGAGCAGATGCCAAATGCAAATTAAATTGCATTCAAATGTTCTGCACACCATAGCTTCAATTAGTATTCATGACAAGAAGAACTATTCAAGTTTGTACACCCCCCTATATAATTCTTGTTCCGTAAGAGTCGTTTGCTGATTGCCCTCCAGTCACCTGTACGCTTTGCCCCATCAGCGTACAATTAATGAAATTACACAGTTTCAGGCTTTGATGTTCAGTTTTGCTTTAATTGTATTAGTTTGCTCTATGTGTTAACGACATCAGCAGCAGTACTCTTCAATAAACTCCGCCTGGTCTTCGCTGGTTAGGATTGAAGGGCGACGGCCTCGTGTCGAAAATGGGTCCCTGCTGACGATGAGGTTCTGACAGGACCGTTGGGGCCATGGTGGCCATTACTCCCAGCAGCGCCAGAAAAATCGCTCCAAGATTGAGTTGCATCTTTGCTCGGTGACGGCAATTGATTGATGCTTTCAGCTGTGAACCAGCGAAGCTTTTATAGCCGAGTCCCAGACAAACGATTCGGGGACTTTTTATTTGAGCTTCTGCTGCTGCGATAAGCTGCCGAATGAATGACGGCCAAGTGTCAGCCGGGGGCAGATAACCGATTGTGGCCAGGGGAACCCATCCCAACGGGGGCATCCCACGGTGCCGGATTAGCTGCCTGCCTAGACTAAATGTAAATATGACATTTCTCGCTGAATATTTATGCTGCCACCAGTGGACTTACCCCCGCCGTCCTTCCCTCAAAAAAAAACACTTGGATTTAGTGCCTTGCTGGTTTTTCTGCATTGCAAATTACACACCAACAGCCACGGCAGCCATTCAAAGGCATAGACAACATGCGTCAACACGGAGCCACGCCCACTTCCCAGGGCCACCCCTGCCTCAGCCTTCTCTACCTTATAGGAAGTGCACAGAAAAAAAGGTGAAAGCTTAAAATAATTTATAATATTATAAAACATGTATACATAGAACTAACAAAAGTAAAACTACTGTAACATTAAATAATTTAAAACTACAATGTATTCATTTCATTATGTGTTTCAAGTTTTTAAGCTAATTTTTTGGAAAATTTAAAATCAAATTTTCATTTCATGTTTAATTTGATCATGTTTTAATTTTATTAGCTTGTTCTTTATTACTTGTTAGTTATGTACTTTCGTAAAAAAAAAAGAAAACAGACAAAAAGCTTTGATTTTAATCCTTGCACCATGAAATTCGAGTGAAAATCATCAATATTTCGTATTATATTTGCTTTTTATTAATTGACATTTATATAAAGTGCACAGGTTAAAAATAATAGAATTATTCTTATATAAGTATGTACTTTTGTATAATAATAAAGGAACAAACTCTTTAGCATAAAAAACATGAAAAACTCTATTAATACTATCAATCTAATATACTATCATAAGTTAAACAATAAATTAATTTTAAATTTAAAACAATGCTATTGTTATTTAACCGATTTCTGTTACCCCAATACTGATAAACTTCAAATTTCTAGCTCAACCTGTATTTTGTTCAGGATATTTTTGTTCAGTATGCCATCACACCATCGAGGAAGTGTGTTTGGGGAGCAGGGATTTGGAGGAGGAAAATGCAGCTGGAGCAGCACCGCAATTGCCCCTTGGCTCGATTAGAGCACTTTGTTAGTTTTCTTACAGCAGCCTGGTGCTAAAAAGGGAATGAGAGGGCGAGAATGAGGGTGATGTTGCCCTTTAAATGACTCGACTGACATTTTGAGTAATTTTCCTCATGCATTTTGTTTGTTTGCTTACTTTTTGCACTGAAAAGAGGTTATAGTCACGGCTCATTAAGCCTTAAAAACGCTTGACTTGCGTAGCTTCGAAACAAAAAGGGGGTGAGCTGAATTGATTGACGCAATTTCCGCTCCACCAACTACGCAAAACACCAATAAGACAAACAAAAAGTGTATATTAAACATTAAAAAAAGTTTTGTTTATCAAATCGATTTAAATTGATCTCCGCTTTCAAAATCGGTTTACGAAAATTCCCTTTATGTTCTCTTCGGCAACAATAAATCAAATAAATCAAACAGAATTCCAAATAAAATTAATCCATTTTCCATGGTTTGCGCATTAAAAAATAAATGTTTGGCTTGCGCGTAAACAGCTGAATAGATTCCGAATGTAAACAGCGCGGAAGACAGGCAAATTGAGGCATTAGTCAATCAATCACTGCCGTTTCTTGTTGACCCTGACGGGTAATGGCTGAAAAGTCGACTTTCGGCCAAGAACTAGGCTAAGAAATTTGAGCTGAGCTGGTGCAAAAAATTGAACTTCACTTTTACTTTTGCTTTTGCTTTTGCCATTTCGCTTGGCATTCATTTCGTAGCTGCGCCTGACATTTTGAAATGTTTCTTGCAAATCGTTCTTGAGCAGGCTAAGCTCAAGTGCCACGCCTCCGCCCCCGTCACGCCCCCGAGGGCTAACGACCGTAACAAGAGTAACAAGCCAAGAAAAAATAAATAAATGTATAAATGTATAACCACCCACCCCGCAAAGTGGCAAAGCAAAAATATTTTGGAAAATAGCAGAGCTATGAAAAGTTGAATTCGAGCCGATAAGAACGCAGATGGAGTCAATTCAATTGAAAACATGAAAAGTTGTCAACCTGCAGAGTGGCGGAAAATGTTTTCGCAGCGTTCCTAGGAAACGGATACCCGCTCGAAGGTAAAACACTCGATGAGTTCTTCGTGGTGCCAAATCGATACGGCCTTGACGACAAACTGACAGCTGAGAAATCATTAAAAAATATATTCTTATTATGTGCGGCCACACTCGAAGACAACAATTTTGCAAATTCATCGTGAAATCAGCGAGAGTTCATTGTTTTCGAATTTCAAAGAAAATCTCTAGCAGGCGATACAATTTATTGACAGCTGATGGACAAACTTTTATCAGTCAATAAACCCAAGTTATAGCGTATTTGTGAAGAATAATTGTTTCATAACAAATTCCAATAAACCTCACTTTGCCATTTTATGTCTTTATCCCGGAAAATTCTCGGAAAATATAATGGGGATTTATTCTAATTGTTTCTGGACAGCTTAATGGATTTTGGAACAATATAGGACGGCAAAAGCTTAACAAATTAGAGATACATATTTATTGCGTGCTTTTACCTTGCATCGTGCATTTGTATACAAATATAAAATTATCTTTACAAAGTCAGCTTTTATTTGGAAAAAGCATACATCGTTTTTATTTATGACCTTATGAAATGCTATACTCTGTCTAAAAAACTAATTAGCCAACTTTTAAGTTAACTTTTAGTTAACGCACTTCAATTTGTGGGCTCTCCAGTTTTGTTTTTTTAAAAGCAGTATGTATGTATAGCTGTCAAAGATAGGAATGGAGAAAACATAATTTATGCATTTAGCATGCAAAATGAGTTTTTAAGTTTATTATGGCTGAGCAAAATTCATAACTCAGAGACTTGGATCAATAAAATGCCAGAAAACGCTCTGAAATGCAGAAGAAACCCGCCCGAAAATAGGCATCCTCGTAAATATGCATTTTACTCTTGCAGGGGCAATCATAAATAAGCAGATGGCAGTTGGGCAAAGGTAACCCGAAGCCAAGAAGAGCTATTTAGGCGAGCTTGAAACAAGAAACAAAGTTCATTAAATACGTATGAAGGCAGGCAGACAGGAATTCTGGCGGGGCACTAAATGCCAGTTGCTCGTCCCGAAAATGGCTGCCATAAATGCGCCAGCTCATTTCTGGTGAGGGAAATGGGAAAAGGAGCTGGATCTGGGAGCCGTAGCTGTAGCTGGGGGACTGGAATAAGGTAAATGCCTCTCATCCTGGCCAGGTCCTGCCCCGAATGTTATTCAGACAAGATGAAGCACTTAGAAGTACGTTGTGCGATGTCAGCATCCTGCGGGAAATGGCAGGTCCTTCGCCTCCCCCACGGTTATCATATTCGCTTTGTCTGAGTGCGCCCCGGACGGACAGGTGATAATGAACACACTCAGAGTCCCGCACACCACCCACACACACCCACAGCACACATCGCACATGTTGCTATTTAAGCAGTTAATGACGCGTTTAAAGCTAAATGCCAAACCGCAAAGCCTCGTCGACTACTCTTTTATTAACTTTGCAATTTCCTTAACGGCCTTTTTCTGCCCGCCACTTCAATTTCCCCGTTGCAGGAGGAATGCTTTTGTTTTCCTAGTCATTCCACAAAAATAACTGCTTGGATATATTATTTCTGGCGATTTGAAATGGAAGAATGAAAAAGCTGCTAGAAAATATTTCCCGTTTTTTGTACTAAGAATATGTTTTGGACAATTAAAAACTAAATTAGTTTCAATTATCTTCTTTATAATTTATAATATATTTAATATAATTTCATTCTTATATACAACTGTACGATTATTTTATTGAAATAGCATATAAATGTTTTTTATTTTTAAATGCTTCTAAAACTACAAAATTTTATACAGGTTAACCAAAGTTCGACCCATTTGCAAAATCCACCATACGAGAAGTGTGTTTGTTTAGCTAACCTTAGGGAACACATATCCAATTACAACACGGCGGTTTCTGTTGACAGAGGGTCTACTGTGCAAAATATTTTTGTTTGTTTTCCCGACATGAGCGAAACCCATAACTTTCCCTTAGCCAACCTGACAGTTAATCAAAACTGGCTGGCAAAGGGGGGAAAATTGGGTAGACAATAAAGCTGTAGGCTCCGGGAAGCTGGCATATCACTCAAAAATGCTGGCTTTTGATAGTCAGAGCTCAGTCGAGCTGACCAGAAATTCGATTCGTCCTTTATTGAGCCACCTTGTGATTGCCACACGTCATAGGGCGCACAGGACGTGCTGCCATTTCAGTGCTTCCTTTTTCATTTCATTTTTTTTTTTTGGCTGAAAAGAGCCAAAAGCCAAGGTGGAACTTAGACCGCCTGACACATGTTGGCTGGCATACAAAGTGCCCAAAAATCATGACACAAAAGGCAAAGGGACAATGTGCTCTTTGTTGGCCAACAGCAGGTGATTGCTTCCTGTGTGTTTAAGTGCGAGCACATTGCGTATACGCCGTGGGTGGGCGTGTGAGCAAACAGTGCTTAATGGAGAAAGCAGCCGTAAATCTAATTAAATTTCACTCGCTGCCCAAACATCGAAGCGGACACTTGTTGGCACTCGGAATTTTCGGTGGAGGGGAGAAAGCCCCAAAGACAAATAACAGCAGGATAGCATCGATAGCCATCGGGGGATTTTCGCGTGAATAATGTGTAAAAACGACAGGCAGGCAGGCAGGCCATGCATAAATGCTAAAGCAGAAAACATTTTTTTGGTGGTTTTTCTTTTTTTTTTTTGTGCTGCTGTTATTTTGCCATTCAGCAAGGTGGTCGTGGTCATTATTAGCATGCCATCATCAACACCGGCTGGCTCGACAGTTCATGTAAAACGTGCTCAAGTGGGCACGGTCGCG